GATGGCACCTAAAAACAACAACACCATATCCAAGCATGGATGTTAATACTTGATCAAAGTGAGGAGAGAGGTATACACATATATACAGCTTTCGGAAACTGTGGAGATGGGAAGCCTTCTCTGTTCTATAATTAAACCCACCAGTATGCATCAGGTCTGACTCTCAGCAAAGCTGTAAAATAAACTGTCTTGACTATATGATTAGGTGACTAATGACACACTTCTTTCTTTCTTGCAAACTATGCATAGAGACCAGCATAAAGTAGTTAATTAAGGAATTGTAGGAATCATTTCTAAGCGATTTTTGGAAGGTAGTGAAATGAATAGGTATGGTCACCTTAACTGGGGAATTTTGTATTATTGATTGGACTTAGTCCATACCTGTGCTCTGCTATGCACCTGAGCCAAAAGCTTGGAGGGTCCATGCAGATAGGAAAGAAGAGGAAGCAGCCGCCATGAACACTGACACAGGAAGAACAAAGGAGCCCTGGCTTGAGGTGGTACTGAAATCGGAGGTTAATGTGTGGATACGTGTGTGTCTCAATCACAGGCCCAGGAATGATGACCATATGTAAAACCCATATCTTAATTTCTAAATATTGCCCAGCCAAAAGAACCGACGAGGCACCTTAGAGGAATAGCTGATTCTAGGCCTGAGCATGGAAGGGACAATGAGAGCCTGGAAAATCTGATGCCAGAAAGCAAGGAAGTGCTGAAAAATGATGGAGTCGTGGGTGGAAGACTTCACCTGACAGTGCTGAATGCCAAGGTATGCGGCGAGAGTAACGCTGGCTGAGATGTGTGTCAGTAGTTTGGCCGTTGTGTAATGATGTTGTCAGCCTCCCTGTTGTGATCTGATGTGCTCATTCTCCAGTTTTGCAATTTTTGCATAAAAGCCTTGTCTTCGGAACCTAACTGTGCTGGACAGTGAGGAACACTAGCTTTGTAGAACTGGTAACAGGCCAAGTTTGTTGCCCTATGAGGTGCAACCAGAGACTATAAAAACTGTTTAACTAAAAGTGTGGTCTTATTGCAGGAATAGACAAATATATTAAACATAGATGATGGAATCTAGAAACTGATCCATGTATGCGTGTATGGCTTAACATGTGTGACCAAAAGATGAAAAGATACAAGGGAAGGGGAGGCCAAAGAAATAATAAAAGGCCAATATGCATTCTACGGTTGCATTTATAAATCTCTATATGTAATAATTTATAAAAGCAAAGATGACTTTTGCATAGCATATGAATTCATCAATTATCTGGTGACATCAGTTTCCTCTTCTCCATTCTCCACAGACCCCAAGTGCCGCTGTACTTACTGTGCATCATGTTGGAGGCTTGGAATGCTGGATCCTGGGGCTTTACCTCTGCTGTAGTGGGAAGGAAGCGTTGCATGTTCTCTGTAAGGTACCAGCTTCGGTTCTCATCAAATACAGAAAACAGGATGACATTTCTTTTGTCCGACATCATCTGTGAATTGCAAGTATTGAAAAGGGCAAATAAATGGCACTGGTATTTCCAGGTAGGGATTAGCTGTCAGTGATGGAAGCAAAAGAATGCATGTGACGCCTCTACAAGTCTTTGGTTCAACCCATTTCTTCTGATGGCCACTGCTATGATACCTGGGCCTGGGATAGTGAAAGTGTCTTTGGCGCAAATGGGTTTTCAGGGCAAGTGGGTGACTAGCTCCATCCAATCACATTAATATCCCAAATCAGGTATTTCAAAATGCTGTAATTTTTTTTCCAGAAGATCAGTGTGCACATAAACCAAAATTGTGAATGTGCCAATGACTTGGTAACTGAACCAGATAACCTTTAATGAGTAAGCCTCTCAAATGTGTATGAATTTCACTTTATAAAGCCTGTAGTTACAAAGCTCATGTCCGTCATACTGTGGTAGCTTGTGTGGTCCTGTTTCAAATACCCATGGTGGACAGGCTTCATCAGAGCTTCCAGACTAAGAAAAGCCAGCTCCTCAGAGTCCAGTCGACCTTAATGACATGAATGGAGCAGAGCTTTTGGAGCCCTCATTTGCTGATGGGACAAGACTAAAATGACAAGAAACAGCTGCAAACACTGATAAAGAGTCACAATGTGGACTGCATGAAAAGGTAGGAAAATTGAAGTCACCAAAAATGAAATGCAACAAACACATAAGCATCGAGATCCTCAGCATTAGTAACTGAGCCAATGGCGAAGGTCCCTATCATCAGCCAACACAAGGCCAGGGGCCAACTGTGGACCATCAGTTGCTCATAGGCAATTTCAGGTTGAAGCTGAAGAAAAATAAAACAAGTCCACAAGAGCCAAAACAGGACCTTGAGTATGTCCCACCTGAATTTAGAGACCATGTCAATAAAAGACTCGATATATTGAACACCAATGACCAAAGACCAGATGATTTGTGGGATGACATCAAGAAAATAATATATGAAGAACACAAAAGGTCATTAAAAAGGAAAGAATATTAACAACCAATGATACTAAAGGAGGAAGTCCAAGATGCATTGAAGGAATTGGCAAAGAACAAGGCACCAGGAATTGATGGAATAAAACCGGAAATCTTTCAAGAAAGTGAGGAGGCAAGAAATTTGTTAAGACATCTGGCTGATTGGAAGAGATCCGTATTTGTGCCCATTCCAAAGAGAGGTGACCCAACGGAATGAAGAAATCATCAGACGATTTCTTTGATATCCCATATGAGTGTGATATCAATGTTTTAATATCAATTAATTTCAATTAATGTTTAAAAATTTTAAATTAAAAAAAGATGTGTAAATCCGGATGGAGCTCTTGTGATACAATAGTGAATATTTGTTACCAGGACTAATTGTGAAGGTTGGAAATGTAAAGGTAGACATTTTGTAGCAAGGAGGGGAGTGATTAACTTTGCAGTCTAGGGGCGGAGGTCCCTGGGACTACCAAGGGAAAAGAGTGGAGAGCGGGACACTACCCAGAGAAGCAGTGATGCCTGAGATGGAAGCAGAGATGATGATGTGGAGAGATGGAGCTGTTGGGGACTTTAGACCCAGAGAGGGAGAGGGGCTGTGTGCTGATGGACAGCAGGCCTGCTTGTAGTGTATACCTTTTGGATGGTTGATGATGCATGGAGGGGATTGTAACCATAGCAATGAAACGATATACTTATAGGATGAATGTAAAACTAATGTTCTCCCATGTAACCTATCACATAATTCACAATAAAACATTAAAAAAGAAAAAAGGAAACAATAAAAAAAGACCAAAGCAGATGTCAGATAAGACTCTGAAACTTGCTACTGAGCTTAAAATAGCTAAAGCAACTGGAAGAAATGAGGAAGCCAAAGAACGGAACAGAAAGTTTCAGAGGGCAGCTCGAGAAGACAGAGTGAAATATTATAACGCAATGTGCAAAGACCTGGAGTTAGAAAACGAAAAGGGACAAACACACTCAGCATTTCTCAAACTGAGGGAACTGAGTAAAAAAGTCAAGCCTCAACTTGCAATACTGAAGGATTCTGTGGGCAAAACATTGAACACTGCCGCGGCATCCACAGATAGAAGGCACCACGGCATCGCTGGACGGGCCTAGACCCGCTACCTGCCTGCCAGTCCACGTAGCCCCAGAGCCAGCCTCCCGGCCCCAGCCACCGCAGCCCCACCGCGACTCCAGCCCAGAGAGAAAGAACGAAAAACATCAGTGGAACGTTAGCTGGAAGAAAAGAAAACGAAAAGCAGTTAGGAAAGGAAAAGAAGGAAGGTGTTCAGAGAAAGGCCGCTGATCACAAACACCAAAGCTATTTGTAGCAAATAAATCGGTGTTCATAGGAAATTCTCTAAGGTGAGGACCTCCAGCAAGATGACAGACTGCATGGACCCTCTACAACCGTCGGCCAGCCCCTCCGGGAGACGGAGGTCAGGCTTTCTGTTCCCACCAGTAGTTAACAGTCATGGCCAGGGTGACGACCTAAGGTCCTGGGTGAACTGTGATCGGGTTACCACCAGGGTAAGCTAAGGCCTGGGTGAACTACGACCTTGGATGAGTTACTGTGAACCCAAGCAACAGATACCCAAGCAAAAGAAGAATTAATGGAAGCTTATTCAAAACTTCATGCTTCAAGATAGAAACTCAATCCCAATGGATGTGAGGTGGGAAGGGGGTGTGCCATGGTTACCTTGAAGCTGTGAATTCCATAATAATTCAAACAACAACAAAACCAGAATCTATGGTAGGTCAGGGCACAGGAATTATTCATGGGGTGGAGGGTAGACCCATGCTAACATGGGTGACAAGGCAGGCAATATACAAGAAGACGGAGGTTAGCAGAGGAAAGATGAAGGTAGAAGGAGACACCTGGAGGAAATCCAGAGTTAAAATGAAGAGAGGAAAAAACTGATGGTTCATGGAGGGGACTAAAACCAGGTAATGAAGTAAAGGCTATGATTTGTTCAATGTAAAACGATGATCTGCTCTGTAAGCCTTCGGTCAGTTCACAATAATTTATAAATAAACAGAAAAGATGTAAGATTGTTGCATCAGGCCTTATTGCATTAGGGAAATCTGCTGCACAAGACCTCTTTAAAGTGTTCAAGAACAAAGATGTCAGTTCGTGCCTGACCCAAGCCATGGTATTTTCAATAACCTCATATGCATGCAAAAGCTGGACAGTGAATAAGGAAGACTGTAGAAGAATTGATGCCTTTGAATTATGGTGTTGGAGGAGAATACTTAAAATGCCAAAAGAACCAACAGATCTGTGTTGGATGAAGTGCAGCTAGAGTGCTCCTTGGAGGCCAAGATGGCCAAACTTCATCTCTCATTCTTCGGACACGTTGTCAGGAGGGACCAGTCGCTAGAGGAGGACATCATGTTTGGTAAGGTGGAGGGTCAGAAAAAAAGAGGAAGACCCTCAACGAGATGGATTGACCAGGTGGCAGCATCAATGGACTCAAGCGTGGCAACGTAGTGAGGTTGGCCCAGGATCGGGCAGTGTTTTATTCAGCTGTGCATAAGGTCACTATGAGTCAGTACTGACTCGATCGATGGCAGCTAACAACACCAACAGGCAAAGTTATGCATAAACCAGGATGTGTCTAAACAGCAGATGACAATCATTAAGGATCAGTGAGCAAGTTAACCTTCTATATGTATAGACTTAAAAATATATACCCCTTAAATTTATTTTTGAAGTTTATTAAATTTGGCTATGATAATAATAATAATAATAAAGTGGGCTATATTATCAGGATGGGGCCTTGATCAAATTTATGCCTTTTTGGGTTTGTGTGTCACATGTTTCATCATGTACTTTACTTTCTAAGCCAATAAAATGTTAGGTAAAAGACTGTTTTCAAACTAGGAATTCTAGGTATCATAAAGAATCAAAAGGACGTGCAGTGAAACCTTAAAACAGAAAAACTGTGGAGTCCATTTCCAAAGTGAGCAGATGAGTGCTTAACCACTGCACCACCAGGGCTCCTAGTCAAGTCTTAGCAATGAGTTATTCTGAAGTCCAGACAATTCGTTTTCTTATGTTAGTATTATTATTACTGTGGATTGGGTGAAGGTTTACAGAGCAGATCAGCTTTTCTTTCAACAATTCATACACGATGTGCTTCATATCATTCATCGCAATTTCCACAATGTGACATCAGTTATCATACTCCCTTCCCCCCATGTCTCCTTGGGTAAATGCTGCCCCTTTGATCTCAAATGGTTGACCATGCTAAGGTGAACATACCTTACTAGTGGTGTTGGCCCCACTATATACCTATCTACTGCTTGGCTGAAAATTGAGTGGTGGGTGTGAGTTCAAACCCAGACCTGAAGAATCACTGAGGTCTTGGGAGTTCTGCCCAGTCTTTTTATGATTTTGAGTTCTGTTCCACATTTTTCTCCCATTCTATCCAAGATCTTTGCTAATGCAAAGCCTTTCAGAGCCAGATCTTCTAGTCTCAGGATCATGGAATCTTACGCATGTATTCCATTGGACTAATTGTTTCAACATAGCTTCGGTCTTTTATCACTCTTCTTTCTTCCAGGCAGGGAGAGGCCAATAGATGCACCTTTGTTGTTGTTGTTAAGTGCCGTGGAGTCGATTCCGGCCCATAGCAACCCTGAACAGGGTTTCCGAGGCTGTAAATCTTTATGGGAGCAGAAAGCCTCATCTTTCTCCCGCAGAGCAGCTGGTAGTTTCAAACTGTTGACCTTGCGGTTTGCAGCCCAATTCGTAACCACTACGCTACCAGATGCACCTTAGAAGGCCCCATATGAGCTTCCAATACGCCACTCACTATACTCACCAAAATGGAGTCAAACTTGATCTTTGTATACTATGTTATGTCAGTTGACCTTGGTGTCCCCGAGACCATGGTCCTGAGCCTCCCGGCCCAGTGACTCATTTGATCAAGGAGTTTGGTTATGTCTATGAAGCGTCATAGCCTTTTCCCTTGTATGCTCCACTGCATTCATGAATACATTCAAATAATTGAGCTTTATTTTTTTTTTTAAATTTGCAGATGTAGTCCAAATTGTAACCACATTAAATTCCAATGAATTCTCAAGTATTTTATACCTTTCCCTTTCTTTCATTCTCAAATCGTTCCTGAGCGCCACGCATTCTGCACTATGCTGGTAGGATGTTAATTCTGAGATGCCTTCGGGTACCTCACAATGAGGTGTCCAGAGGAGGAGTCTAAGCTGTAGATAGAAGAAGTCTGAGGATGATCTAAAAATAAGTGGTAATTGAAGATGGAAAAACCAGGCAAGTTCACCAAGAGAAAGCTTAATCTCAGTTAGGTTTATAACATCAAACACATGATCAATGAAGGCTAAGAGAACACACACTCATTTGTTTCATTTACTTTCTGGCTGCTGTGTTTTTTGTAGCCTATAAGGTCACTACCGACTCGATGGCACCTAACAACAACAACATAGGGGGGACAAATTATGAGAGAATATAGCAAATATTATCTAAAAGTTCATTTGCATCATCATTCCATTTTTAGCTTCAAATCAAACCCAGGAAAAGGAAGATGCTCACCTGGTTTCCTCTCTGATCTACAGATTCTTTGTAACAGATGAGGAGAGGGCCAATGAGTCCGGACGCTAGATCCCTTTCCAGATTAATGAAGCTGGAGTAATAGCGTGTTAGGCACCGAGGGTCTGATTTAGTTGGCCCATCTTCAAGACTCACTGTCCATTTATACTTGAATATCTGTCCTGGCATTATTTGAAAATCCCTCAAGTGTTTCACACCTAAGCAGAATCAGGTCAGAAATAGGTCAACAAGAGCAAAACAAGCCACATTCTGACAATCCTATTGCAAGGGATCAACAAATCTATTTACTTTCTCAGTAAATGGAAACAGAAAGTCTTGTATTGTAACTTTAGGGTTCACACATTGTTTTCACAGTAGGAGCAAAAATTCCGAGCTGCTGCCAGGCTAACGTGTCTCAGGGTAAAATTATCTGTAGTAACTGAAGATACAATCTAAATAAAACTTTTCATTTTATATTCATTCCAAGAACTTCCTTCCTTCCATTGGGTTTGGGCTGGCCTATGGTTAGGGACTCTATACAATCAATCACTGTGGTCTTATTTGTACTTTTTGAATACTACATCGTACAACTGAAAAATATACCATTTTTCAAGTACACATGGAACGTTCCCCAAATTTCACACTTGTTTTATAACCCTAAATATGGTCTATCTGCTTAATAGGATTCAAAGCATACAGAGGATGCTTTCTGACCACAAAGGAATTCAATCATATATCAACAACAAAAACACACTAGGAAAATCACTAATATTCAAAAGTTTAAAAACACAGTTATAAAAAATACATGGGTCAAATAAAAGACCACAAGAAAATTAGAAATGGAAATGTAAGCATGCAGTTAGACCACATTGACATCAAACAAACAGCACCTACCGATTGTGAAATATTTACACATCACCAGTTGTTGGTGGTGGTAAGTGCTGTCAAGTCCATTCTGATTCACAGCGACCCTGTATATGGTTTCTGAGGTGTTGCTGGTGAGTTTGAAGGGCTGACCTTGGGGTTCAAACTGGTCTTAAGGTCCAGTGCATTATCCCACAATGCTACACCAGGACTCCACATCACCAGTAGGTTATACCAAAAGTACATCAGGGAAACCTTGACCTATACTTCTGGATACAGTAGCTCAAAATACCAACTGAGAGGGAAGGAGTCTTCACATTAAGTATCAATGCTATCCCCACTGTATACAGAGTTGATAGGGAAGGGCAACTTACACATTGGCTATCTAAAATGGAGCGGTGGGGGAGCGGCGATAAAGACACGAAGTAACTGGCTTACAAGTTTTCAAGAGGGAGTTTAGTTTCAGAGTGTGAGAGGGAAGGTAGAATCCTTACATAATAGTTTTCATCTTGTCTAGATGGGTCTGGTAAAAGAGATGGGGATAGGATTCTTATGATTCAATAGTGACTAATTGTTATCATGACTAATTGTGACTGTCACAACTGTAAAGGTAGAAGTTTTGTAACAAAAAAGGGGGTAGTAATTTATCTTACAGTCCAGGAACAGAAGACCATCCAGGGAAAAGAGCATGAGTAGAATGTGGGCCCCTATCCAGAGAAGCAGTGACACCAGAGATGGAGGCAGAGATGAGGCCATGGAGAGAGAGAGCAGCTGAGGACTCTGGACTCATGGAAAGAGAGGGACTGGGTGCTGGCGGCCAGGAGGCAGACTTGCAGGATGTGCCCTTTGGTTGTTTAAATGATTATATATTCCTGAGTGGTTTTGTGTACATTTAAAAACAACAACAACAGAGGGAATAGAAGCCAATACTATTGAATGATGACACACGGAGGAGATTGTAATCATTGCTATGAAACGATGAGTGTAAAACCAATGTTCTCCCATGTAAACTATCACTCAATTCACAATAAAAACTTTTTTAAAAAGTTCATCATGGAACTCTTAGCAAACCTATATGAGACTTCCCCTGCAGATTTCTGAACTAGATTTAGTATGATTTTCCACTGGAACTGGAGGTCCTATGTCAAAGCAGGAGTTAAGAACTAGCCAAATCTTATTCTTTAAGACGTAACTTCATTTGTGTCTACAGATAAGACATATAAAAATTAGGGCAATACTTTTTGTAGCTCTGGTAGCATAGTGGCTACAAGTTGGGCTACTAACCTCAAGGTCAGCAGTTGGAAACTACCAGCTGCTCCATGGGAGAAAGATGAGGCTTTCTGCTCCCGTAAAGATTGGCAGCCTTGGAAACCCAACTCCACGGCCCACCACCACCACCACCACCACCACTGCCACTTACCTTTTGGTAACCTCCCTGAATACAAAGGACTAACATTCGTGAGTCCATGAGGGTAGATGTTATATGGTCGGCTTGCTTGATTCTTGAATATAATCTGAAAGTATAAATGATAGATAGGGTCAAGTTCTAAGACACCTAGCATCACCAGGAGAAGTATGGCCTAACATTGCAATGTGACCCGTGTCCTTATGAGGAAAGAGAAAGAGCCATAGGGAGAATTTTACAATGGAGGCAGAGGATTGCCAGAAACACGAGAAGCTAGGAGAAAGCTGAGAACAGCTTTCTTTCTAGCGTGTTCAGGAAGAACAAGACCCTACCGACACCTCAAGTTCAGACTTGTAGCCTCCAGAATAAAGAAAGAACATGGTAGTTGGCTGAGAATTTTCCTCATGAATGAGTCGTGGATTTTGTCAAGTCCCTTTTCTCCACTGATTATATGATCACATGTTTTTTGCTTTTCATTCTGTTAATACCATACACTTCATAGATTTCTAGGTATTAAATAAGTCTTGCATTCTTGGAATAAACCCCACGTAACCATCATATATCATCCTTTTTAACTGTTGCTAGATTTGGTTTGCTAAGATTTTGTTGACGACTTTTGCATGTAGTTGTGAAGGATATTGAACTGTAGTTTCACATGTGTTACGGCTTGCTCCATGCCTAGTATATGATCTATCCTGGAGAATACTTCACGTACACTTGAGAAGACTGTGTTCTACTGAAGTCAGATGGAGTCTTCTATAGATGTCTGTTAGGGCTAGCTGGTGTCTAGATGAAATGCAATGGGCCATTGGTTGATAGCAATTAAAGCTGGATGATGGAGTCAAGTGGTTTATTATATTATTCTTTCTACTTTGGAGTATATGCCTGAAAATTTCTACGCTAAAAAGTTACAAATCATATACCTTTACAGTATTGTTGTGTTGTTTAGTGCCGTCGAGTCAGTTCTGACTCACAGCATAGCGGGTTTGAGCTGTCCACCTTGTGGTTAGCAGTCCAGTGTTGACCCTAAGCACCAGAGCAGGACCCCCCCTTACAGAATTAGAACAGACCTAATCATGGGAACCACCACCAGATTTGACAAAATGTCTAAAACCACAATACCCTCGCATAAGTCAACAACTATCCTGAATATTCACATCGGGTGATCAGAGGATCGGTGTACAAATTGAATGGGCATGTGACCCTTTTCCAGGTCATGAGAGTTGGGCACGGGATGTTTGTTCCGATCCTTAACTAAACGCAGCTTGTTTTCTGCTGGATTTGAAAGTGGGGGGTTTTGCTGACTTTAGAGCTGGCATCAGGAAGACTAATTACTAGTGAAAGACATCAAGTTTGGTGAAACTGGGGTCAAACAAAACTAGGGGAAACTTCCATGAGATGGATTAATACAAAAGCCACAAACAACCTTCTACCTCCAAATTTCTTGTGCAAGAATACAGCCCCATTTGTTTAAATCAGGGGTGGTTGATGTTATTAAGTGCTGTCGAGTCGGTTCTGACCCATAGTGACCCTGTCTAGAGTTTCTGAGGAGCAGCTCGTGAACCTTTTTTTCTGGCAAAATTTATAACATCATTTGTGGACCATACATAATTACCAACTTAAAAACCAGCCTGCTGTATTTGGTCAAACATTTCATTAACTCGTCCCTAATGTGAGTCCTGGGGTGGCGCTGTGGGTTAATGCGCCAGACTGCAAAGCCATTTGAACTGCAAGGTTGGCAGTTCAAGCTCACTAGTCGCGCCTTGGAAACCCTATACAGGGTCGCTATGGGTCAGAATTGACTCGACGGCACTTAACAACAACAACAATGTGATGGCTGGAACTGCGGTTGCCTTGGCAGGACCAAATGATTTCGTGGGCCCTTGTTTTTCTGTTCCCCACCCCTTGGTAAACTATGGTTCATTGAGGATTCTGTTACTTGCAGCTTGCTGTAGGTAGGTGCCGTCATGTCCGTTGTTTCTGACTCATGGTGAGCCTATAGAGGTTTCGGAGGAGTGGCTGGTAGGCTTGAATCATTGGCTACTACTGTGATACAACCGAACTGGCAGCTTAAGCAGTCACAATACAATACATTGGGATTTGACAAAAATTCTATGGAATTTTTTGTAAGTTGGATCTGCTGTCTGTCACATATTCATCTTTTCTTTGTTTGTTGTTAGGTGCCATCAAGTCGTAGCAACCCTATGCAAAACAGAAGGAAACACTGCCCGATCCTGGGCCAACATCACAATTGTTGACTCACTCGAGCCCATTGATGCTGCCACTTTGCCAATCCATCTCGCTGAGGGTCTTCCTCTTTTTCTCTGACCTTGTCAAACATGATATATTTCTCCAGCAACTGGTCCCTTCTCACGACATGTCCGAAGTATGAGAGATGAAGTTTGGCCACCCTGGCCCCCAAGGAGCACTCTAGCTGCAGTTCTTCCAACACAGATCTGTTGGTTCTTTTGGCAACCTGTGGCACTTTCAATATTCTCCTCCAACACCATAACTGAAAAGCATCAATTCTTCTACAGTCTTCCTAATTCACTGTCCAGCTTTAGCATGCATGAGGTTATTGAAAATACCATGGCTTGAGTCAGGCGCACCTTAGTCCTCAAGCTGACATCTTT